CAATGCACATCAGATTGCATTTCGGTCGTTGTGGCTGGCGCTGCCTCGCCGAACCTCCCCTAAAACACTCTCGCCCGGATCCTACGCTAAGGCTGCAAGATGAAGCTCAAACCAGACCAACCAGACTTCATGCAAAACATTGCAATGCACAAAAAATATTACAAAGCAAGCAAAAAACAATGCAAGAACAATTGCATTTCGGTCGTGGTGGTGGTTGGCGCCGGACCTCCCCTAAACCATCCTCGCCCAGATCCTAGGCTAAGGCTGCAAGACGAAGGTCAAACCAGACCAACCAGACCAGCCATACCAGATGCAACCAACAATTGCAATGACAAAAACAATTTCAAACGAAATTCAATGGAACAGAAGGCTGCATTTGTGTCGGCCTCGTGGCGGTTCGCACTACCTCGCCTGCCCGCTCCTAAACCACTCTCGCCCGGATCCTAAGCTAAGCAAGAAGAAGCTTAAATAAGACCAACCATACCAGCCAGACCAGATGCAAAAATAATTGGAATGCAAACAAAAATTGCAAAGCAATGATAATTGCCTCGCGGGACCTCCCCTAAACCTCTCTCGCCCAGATCCTAGGCTAAGGCTGCAAGACAAAGCTCAAATCAGACCAACCAACCAGACCAGCCAGACCAGATGCAAACAAAAATTGAAGTGCAAAGCAAAACTGAAAAGCAAAAACATTCTTGCAAAACAACTGCATTTCGGTCGTGGTTGTGGTTGGCGCTGCCTCGCTTGACCTCCCCTAAAACACTCTCGACCGGATCCTAAGCTAAGGCTGCAAGACGAAACTCAAATAAGACCAGCCAGACCAGCCAGACCAGATGCAAAAAGAACATCAATGCAAACAAACATTGCAAAGCAAACAAAACTTGCAATGCAAACAAAACTGCATTTCGGTCGTGGTGGGAGTTGGCGCTGCCTCGCAGGACCTCTCCTAAACCATTATCGCCCTGATCCTAAGCTAAGGCTGCAAGACGAAGCTCAAAGAAGACCAACCAGACCAGGCAGACCAGATGCAACAAAAGCTGCAATGCAAAAAACATTGCAAGGCAAACAAACATGCAATGCAAAACAAGTGCATTTCGGTCGTGGTGGTGGTTGGCGCTGCCTCGCCAGACCTCCCCTAAACCACTCTCGCCCGGATCCTAAGCTAAGGCTGCAAGACGAAGCTCAAGCCAAACAAACCAGACCAAAGCTAGACTTGGCGTCCAGCCGTGCGGTACACGGCTAAGAACTTCAATTATCACCCTGGCCTGCTCAGGGACTACGTAGTTTACGTAATTGGAACCGATTGCAACCACCTGACTTTGATCAGATTACAATCCAAGCAACACAGACCATAATGTTGCCATCAGACTACGGGAACAAAAAACCTGTTCGAGCCAGTCTTGTGAGAGGCTCTGCACGGCCTCTTGGGAGACCTTGCGCGGCCTCTGCGCGATTTGTTCACCCCCGTCGGGTTCACTGGGCTGCAGACGCTCTTCAAGTTCTGAATCCCACCCGGTTTTTCAAAAATCGGACCTTGCGGGGGTAGGGTTGACATGCAGATGTCCGTCGCATGGACGTCGGATGCTACAGTCGGTATCGTTTATCCGATCCCCATCACCATCTCCATCTTCTTCGGGACCCCACCAAATGACCACCCCAATTGGGGATACACCCCTCGAAACCCAGAGAGAACGACCTATATCTTCATCTAGGGGGGTGCCTCGGCCAGTGGGGCCTAGGCCACGCCGCTGGGGATCGGGATCGGAGAAAACGATGCTCATACAGGCATTCATCTTGCGGCTCGTGTGCGGCTCGTTTGGGAGGGTGGCCCGAGCCGGCGGCGGAATCCGCACTCTGCCCTCGCCGATCAAGTGTTCGGGTCACTCGTTGGGCGGCAGGGGTAGGGTTCGGCATTCGTCGAACACGCAACTCCTGGGAGGTGAAATTCTGATTTTGCCCTGGTCCGAATTCTGGCTTAATCCCGCTTTATACCGCTTAATCCGGCTTGATCCCGCTTAATCCCGCTTAATCCGGCTTAATCCGAGGCCCACTCCGGCGTAACAGCCCCCCAATGGGGCGTAATCCTCATTAATATTTGCGACGAAAACCTCCCGGTAGTTGCCTCCTAAGGTAGCCTACCCCCGCCTCCCATCGATTCGGGAGAGTCGATGGTTGGTGGAGGTGGGGCTCGGATGCCGCCACCCAGCGAGGGGGGCCGCGGCCGCCTGGGGAGGCAGGGGGGGCTTCTATGGGAAGTCCTCCCGCCCTCGACGGGGCCCTCCTGAAAAGTATCCGAGGCCTGCTCGTACCCCCCCTGTCTGCTCAGAAGGCCTCGGAGGTGGATAGACCTCCCACCCTGACACGTCGATTAGCGAATCTGCCGTTTTCGGTTCGCGAGAGGGCGTCGCGGCCGTCATTTTTGCGGGTCAAGGTCCGTCGGTTTCGGTCTTAGGCCGTTTTCACTAAAGGGAGGTTCACTAAAGGGAGGTTTGTCCACCCCCAGTCTGCTCAGAAGGTCACCCACCCCTCTCCCCCCTTTGTTTGCTGCGCGTTGCCGGCTCGTGCCGGAGATTCCAAGTCCGCGGAGAGGCAGGTCGTTGGATTGGCGTAGCTGGCAGGGGCGGCCTAAAGCATCCCTTGCCGCGACGTCCCCCTCCGATGGACGAAGCACGATGACCACGACCAGGATGTCGCGGGATCTTGTCGATCTTGATCGTGGTCATGGTCCATGCCGGCCGTCGCCGATTCGCGAGGATGACTCACGAATTGACGATGACCGATATGGAGGATGACCAAGTTCGGCACCGACGTTTGCGCGCTTGTTCTTCTTTCGTTTTCCCGCAGAACACCAAGCAGCAGGGGCACCGCGGCAAAAACGGCGACGACGATGTCGGCGAGGCTGCGAGAAAGAAGGGCCGAAGTCTTGATATCTTGAGCAGCGCACCCTGCCAGCGACGACGCCTCTGCCCGTGCCTCACGGTGCCGCGCGGAGAGATCGGCCAGTGTTTTCTTCCCATCCAGATGCGCAGTTGCGCTGCACTTGAGGGGGACCCCCTCCGTCCTGCAGACGGTTGTCCTTCTCTGGTGCCCGACACATAGTCGACGCGGATCCGACGCAGGTCCGACGTGGCTTCGACACGGATCCGACGCGGATTCGAGAAGGTCGACTTGGACCCGACGCGGATTCGACAAAGGACAGCGGCGCGATGGGACAGACAAGGTTCGCAGGCCTACAGGTTGACACCAACACCAATATCGGTGGCGTGCTTCCACCTAGGAAAGGAGATTTCGACCTCGGTGATGGTGGTGATAGCTTGGCTTCCAGGGTGACCGAAATGTTACCACCAACACCGACATCTGGGATCATCTTCCCCCTGGGAAGGCGACCCCCTGTGTTGGTGTCGGTGCCCACTCCCAGGCCTCCAGCCTCCTCCTCCTCCTCGCGCCAGGGGAGGAGGAGGAGGAGGAGGAGGAGGAGGAGGAGGCGGCGGAGGAGGAGGAGGAGGAGGAGGCGGAGGAGGAGGGGTGAGGACGGAACAGCCGTGCAGGCCTCACTCGGGAGTGGCACAACTCCCCCTCCCTCCTCCACCCTCTGGCGGGAGACCTCCTCCTCCTCCTCCTCCTCCTCCTCGACAGCAGTATACACCCCACCACCATGTTATTCCTCTCCTCTCTCCTGGGAGACGCAGGGGATGAGGGAGGTGGTGGTGGTGGTGGTGTATACCTCTGGGCCCCGCATCCCCGTTGGCATTCCCGCCTCGGGCTGCTCTGCAGCAGCGCCACTTGCGCCCAGGGCGTGCAGGGGGGTGCGCGGATCGCCCCGCTCGGCCGCCGGAGGCCCGAGCTGTGATGGCCAGGAGCCACCAGTCGGGTACAGCCAGGACCCCAGGCAAGGGGGACCCGGTGAGTGGTAGGGCCCCGGAGCCCTTGAATTGGCGGTCTCCAAACCAGGTGGTGAGACACCCGGTGGTGACCCCGATTCCCCAAAGAGAGAATTCTGGGTCACCACCGGGTTTGGGGACACGCGGTCGCCACGAGGTTTTGCGTTTCCTGGGCCAGCCAGCGCTCGAAAACCATTACCCAAATCACCCAAAACTCACCACCGGGTGTTCTCACCACGTTTGGGGCTACCAATTGAAGTGGCCAGAATCACTAAACCAGGTCTGCCGCATCTGGTGTTTTTTCGGGTGACGGCAGTTCCGGTTGGTGGAACGGTGCGGGGGGGCGTCCCCCAGTACACATCACTAAACCAGGTTCCACGAAACCCAGTTCTGCCAACGCCCGAACCAGGGGCAGCGTCAGGGGGGATCAGCCCAGGACGGCTGCATCGACCCCCGACTTCAGGCGATCGCAGACATGGATCAAGGGGGCGTGGACTGGCGACGGGGTCCCGTTTCCACGTGAAATCGCGGATTCCCGCCGCCGAAGGAGGCGGCACCGGCCGCGTTTTGGGGAGGGCACCTCCCCCGATCCATAGACTGGGAGAGCGCGCGCCAAATCCATGGATCGCGAATCCATGTTTGCGCGGCCCTGACGATCGCCCACTGATCGCCGACGTGGAGCCCGATGGTCCACCCCGCCAAGGGCCGTGCGGAATCGACATGGGGGGGCCCATCATCGACTTATCTGCGGTGTATCGCCGATTCGCCGATTCAAGGTCGATGTTCCATCCCATGTTCCAGTCCCCCCTAAGCAACGTTCCCCTATAATTGATCGGAGAGCATGCGTGTTGGAATCGCCCACCATCCGGGCGATCAAAGATGGGTACGGAAGTAATGGGGACGACAAACACAAGTTCTTGCCCATGTTGAGCAGGACTCGCTGTCAGCGGCGCCGCGGACGTGGTCCGTATCAGGTATCGCCTACCCAGCAGCCTCAGCTTTCGTCTCTGCACAGCCTTTGCTGCTGGGAATCGTGCCCATTTTTTCGTACCCTGTTCGGGCGTGCCAACACCAGCCTGCATGCGTGTAATTGGAGAGAGGGATCCGATGGAAGCGAAGGTGGTCCATCGGCTCGTACGCGTCCGTGGAGGCAGCGCGGCTCTTGATCGCTTCTCATGTTGCTTGCCATGCTTCCTCGCCGCAGTCGTCCTACTCAGGGGAGGGAAGCCTCTATGCCCATGTCGGCTGCCCGTGAACGGGCCGTTCGCAGGATTCGAATAGGGGGGCCGCCATGGACCGTGGTGCCGTGCGACCGTGCCAGCAAAAGTTTTTTAGCGTCGGCGGCTAGGCAGGGGACGTCTGCGCTGGCGATAGGACGCCTAAACGGGAATGCCGTTAAAGCGAGTTGTGCCACCATGCAAGAGGAGGAGGAGGAGGAGGAGGAGAAGGAGGAGGAGGAGGAGGAGGAGAAGGAGGAGGAGGAGGGGGAGGAGGAGGGGGAGGGGGAGGGGGAGGAGGAGGAGGAGGAGGAGGAGGAGGAGGAGGAGGAGGAGGAGGAGATGGAAGGCGCGGCCGAAAAAGGGGCGGACGGAGCGAGCGGCTCGAGGGGAGGGGCGGACCGCGGCAATGCCAGCAAAAACAACCGGGGAAGCGTTCCCAGATCGCCGACGACCTGATGTTTTCCACCTGTGCTCCCTCCTCGGTGCCGAACCGTCGGGAAAAGCTCCCCGCACGGGAGCGGTCGGGACATCCTTGAAGCAGCGCATCGATCGGAACAGTTATCCTTGGATGTCTGGGTACTCGTGCACGCGCCGCCGCCGAGTGGGTTTTTTCGAGCGACCACGGAGTTTCGGATGCAACTCCGGGGAGGTCAAGTTCTGATTTCGCCCGGGTCCGAAGTCCGGCTCAGTCCTGTTTCTTCCCGCCTGATCCTTCTCAGTCTGGCCGAATTCGGCTGAATCCCGCTGAGTCCGCGGCTTCATCCAGCGTATAGAGGGGGCCACATGCGAACCGCCTACCCCTACCCCCCCCTCAGAAATCGTGGGTGGTAGGGGTAGGGTTCGCATGTGGCCCCCTTGCGTAGTAGCCCCCCAATGGAGCTTGACCTTCTTCGAAGCATTCCGACGAGGACCGCCCAGGAGCCGCCTCGTGATCGAGCGGCTCCCGACGCTGCGCAGACGGCGTGAGCTTCGGGCGGGGTGCGGGCACCGCATGAGCTGATTCTGATTTACCAGCCTGGAACATATCCCTATCCCTAATTATGCTGGGCATCTCCTCATCTTAGGGATTCCCTTATTTTTAGAGGGCGACTCCCTAAGATTGGCATCGCCTTTTGGCGTGTCAATCTTAGGGATAGGGGTACGTTCCAGGCTGGTAATCGATCTGCACAAACGAAATGGGTACGGAAAGAATGGGTACAATGCCCGACAGCAGTTCCTGTTCATTCTGAACAGGTCAGGAGGGAAACAAAACACACAGACACAATTAATCTTCGATTCCATTGAAAATATGGAAAATATGGGAAGTGGGGGGAAGACAGAAACCCAGAAAATATTGGAAAATGTGGGGAATCGGTTTATTTGTGTGTATTTATTTGTGTGTCCTGGGGCCCCCGCCAACAGGACTCGTTGTCCGCGCCGCCGCGGCCTGTGCGCATTCGAGACAGAAGGCCGCCTGCCCAACAGCGGCCGCTGCTGGTTTTGGACAGCATTTGCTGTTGGGCACCGTGCCCATCTCTTCCGTACCCATTTCGGGCGTCCAAATTCGAGCCCCAGGTGGAGCCCTGCACCTTTCTCGGAGGTTTGACAGGCCTCTTGCCCTGGCACGTCGATTAGCGAATCGGTTGTCCTCGGTTCGCGAGAGGGCGTCGCGGCCGTCATGTTTGCTGGTACAGGTCCGTCGGTTTCGGACCCGGGCCGTTTTCACCAAAGGGTGGTTTATTAAAGTCAGGAGGTTACAAAAAACACAGACACCATGAATCGTCGATTCCCAGGGAAACGTGGGAAAATGCAGGAAGTGGGGGGGAAGACGAACGCCCAGAAAATATGGGAAGTAATGGGGAGTCCTTTTCTTTGTGCCCATTTGTTTGTGTGTACCAGGGCCCCTTCATGAAGGGAGGTTTGTCCACACCCGACTTTCAGGGTTAGCGTTAAGTCGGGCCTGTCCCCCTACAGGGGGATTTTCGACGAAAAATAAAACATACCCCAAACATGCTCAAACAATAATAAAAAAAATAGTCAGGGGATTATGTTTTGATTATGCTTTGACCTTCTTGTCGTATTTTTGGGGTATTTCTTTTATTTTTCGTCGAAAAGTCACCCTGTAGGGGGACACGCCCGACTTTCAGGGCTAGCGTTGGCGGTGGAATTCCTATGGGACCTGCCCCCATAGGAATTCCACCGAAGTGCGCAGAGGCTGCGTTTGCATGGCACAGCTGCGCCCAGCTCGGCACACCCCTCACAAGTTTCGTGGCCCCAAAAGGCAGCTCCGCACCCCTCACACAATGTGGCTCCACAGAGCTCTACTGGATGCCCCAGCGGCTGCGTTCGCATGTCACCGCCGCACCCATTTCGGCGCACTCCTCAAAGGCCCCCGCGTTCGCATGGCTTCGTCGCACCCGTTTCAGCGCACCCTTCACTCTTCTCGTGGCCCCACAGGGGGCTACACCGAAGGCTCCAGTGGCTACGTTCGCGTGGCACCGCCGCAATCGTTTCGGTACACCCCTCACATGTTTCGTGGCCCCACAGGCAGCTCCACCGAAGGCTCCAGTGGCTGCGTTCGCATGTCACCACCCTGCTCGTTTCGGCACACACCTCATGGCCCCACATGGAGCTCCACCGAAACCTCCAGTGGCTGCGCCCTCATGGCACCGACGGGCCCAGTCCAGCACACCCCTCACACGCTTCGTGGCCTCCTGGGGAGCTCCACCGAAGACGAGATTCACAATTGCGTGAAATGGAAAAGATTGGGGGCTGCCCAGCCTTAAGAAAAACAAACGAGTCAGGCTGCTTAGAGGCCTGGTGCAGCAATCGCGGCCTAAGATGGGCTCACGTTGGAACGTGGCCGAAGAGGTAAGAAAGGGCACCCCTCAGAAGTTGCTCTGCCTCAGGAACTTGAAGTACACGTAGCAGAGTTGCTCGAAGTATGCAGCCACCCAACTGGAATACTTGAGCACATATGGAAACGGCAATGTCGGGACTGCCGCATGAACGGAAGAGGGGCAGGCTACTTTTTCCGTCCCGGGTAAGGCTGAGGCCGGCCAGATTTGGGTCCAGCATCGCCCTCAACACGTCCAAAGGAAGGCTTCCCTGACAAAGCTCCCTGTTGGTGTGCACTAGATCGTGCAGGATCTTTGGCACGTGCAGGTGGCCCTGATGGTTCTCGCCCCAGTGTGTGGCAAGAACTGGCGCCAATTGCACTCCCAGCAATAGACTCGGGGAGCGGGTGCCGGGAATTGAGGGTACCTTCAGACTGCGAGGGTGAATCAGCGCCTGAACGTAGAGCACGTGCCGGAGCGGGCTCTGCAGCATGACTTCCCCCGAGGTCTGCGCTTGGGCCGGCTGCACCTGCTGGAGGTGGAATGGCTTCAACGACAGGCTGAAGGCCATCAGGAAGAATAGGAGAGGCTGGACCATCTTGAGCCACCTGCTTGGCTGTCCTGCGCTTCTCCTTCTTGCGGAGTCGTTGGGCACGGCGTACAGCACGAAGTTTCTCCAACAATTGTACAGGATCGTCGGAGTCTTCAGCTTTGCCCTGTGCATCCTGAGCGCGCTCCTTGTGCATAGTCGCTGGCACGGAGGGCCGAGCAGTCGCAGACATCACAGTGCCGGCAACCGCCGCAGCCACAGCAGCAACAGTGCGCCTCGGGGCGCCCTCCCGGATCGCCGCCTGCACAGCCGCCGCCACAAGGGAGGGGCCATCAGCAGCGTTGGCGCTCATCTATACCTAGCAAGGGGTGTAGCCAGGCAAGTGCAATCGCTTGAGCCAAAATGATTCACAATTGCGTTACTCACAATTGCATATGGTTGGGGTCTTCGCGAGGATAATTAAATTCCCTCCCGTCTGCCTCCATCCACCTTATCTGAAGGACAGGGTAGGAGCACTCCATGGCAGAACGCTCCCCCCCTTCTAGGAGGATTAGGAGGGCGGACAGAAAGGGAAGCAGCCGCTAGTTTGATTAACGACAGGGACATGATGATGTGCCCGTGGAAAAGCAGGATGGAGAGTCGCGGGGAGGAACATGTACGGTACAAAAGGGGGAGGACGAGAAGGCGGAGTAGGACAGAGGAGAAAGTATGAGGAAGCGGAGGCGGAGGACGGGGGAGAGGGAGACGGATGGAGAAGCAGGAGGGGGGCGGGGCAAGCAGAGAGAGAGAGAGAGTAGGAGGAGGGTGGATGATGTTGACAATGGAGGAGGGGGAGGACGAGGAGCCGGAGTCGTAGCTGGATGCGGAGGCCGAGGACGAGGACGTGCCTCTCCTGCCCCTCGTTTTTGCCCCCCCCCCCCCCCCCCCCCCCCGGGCCGAGGCCATTGCGGTGCTCATGCTCTTCCCGCTGTTCGCGTCCAACTGGGGCTTCTTGGACCTCCCCTCCCAGGGCTTGGTGTGTCGGAGGCATCGCTACAGTGGGGGCCCCTGCCAAGAAACCATCGGGTTTCCCTCCAGGGTGCCCTGGGTTTCTTGGACTCCGATGGGGTCGCGATCGAAAGCGTGGCGTTCGCAATGCCTGAGAGCCAATGTGCGTCCTCGGGTTTCAGGGTTGGAGGTTTCTTGTGGCCGAGCCCCGACTGTAGAGGCGGGAGATTCCGTCACACAGTCAAGCCGCACAGAAAGGATGCGCCATGTTTTAGGTTTCCCTTGCATCCTTGCCCCTTCGGCCCATCCTTGGCGACTTTCGATGGCCAGTCCCGCTCGAAAACGCCATCCGCGCATCATTGTTATGCGTTTTGACTGTAGTTCTTATGAGCTTCATTCTTGTTCTTCCTCTCTGTCATGCAGTGCGGGCGCGGCCGCCAGACAAAAAACCCTTGCAAGAGGCCCAGTCCTGAAGACTCGCGCGCGAGGCGCAGCCTTGGGGAAGCCCAGGAGAACCTGAGCGCAGTAGCTTGTTTCTGACGGCTGTGGGGTCAACACGCGGCGCGTGGAGCGACGAAACAGCTTGCTACCCTGACGAAGAGCATCTGGACTCTCATCGCGCGGCCCCGCTGTACATTTTCTCCTCTTCCTCTCTCTCTCAGTCGCCGCGTTCTTGGAGCGGTGTCGGTGACAGAGTTGCTCAGAGTGTGGCGTCCGTCCATCTCGGGCTGGTCTGGGGGCGTCTCGGGCATCGGGGTCTGCCTTGGGTTGGCTCGTGTCTGTGGCTGCGATGCGACGCAACGTGGTGCAACATATGATGAGCTATACGACGCGGTGCAGTGCAGGAGAAGGCACGCGGATAGCACCGCAAAGGAGGCAGCGCAAGTTGCGCGTGGAGCCGGGCCACGCGAAACGGCATCTTCGAGAGTCGGCCGCCAAGAGGGATTTGTCCACTTGCCTTCTGTCGCGTAAGAGAAGTCGGCCACGCGCAGAGGGGGCTAGGGGGAGGGGGAAAGGCTTCTTAGAAGTAACCCTGCTTCTTAAAATGCGCGGGCCTGATCTATAGATGTAAGGCCGGCGCCTGTAAGGAGCAGCCTCCTAAGAAGCTTTCCCCGCTTCCCCGACCCCCCTTCTGCGTGTCGCCAAAGAAAGCCTCAGGGATCATGATAAGAACTTCACAGGGACCGTCCTCTCTACTTGCCAAGAGGGATCAGAAGACCCCACAGGCGAAGCTTCATCGGGGAACACATGCCTGGGGTATCCGACTTCCCGACTGTCGCGGGCGAGCGTCGTTTCAACGAGTGGTGAACCTGCCAGTATTTTTCCAAACTTCTTAATGGCGTCCTCGCACTGCGAGCGTCAACCAGATACCAGCATTGTGTTTAACAACGCGTTGCGACCTTGCAACGCTTCGATATGGGACGTCGCACAGCTTTTTTGTTTCATTGCGTGCACACGTGTTTATGGTCGGTGCCCGCTCCCTTCCTACTGCTCAAGCATGCCTCTCAGTATGTTACGTGCAGTTTTTGTTCGGCCTGTTCAGGATAAGAAGAAGAGTGACACGTCGGCGACCAAGAGGAGGAGGGCTTGGGCTGCCTGTCGTGTGTGAGGGCATGCTGCTGCCGGATCGCGTGTCGCATCGGCAGCTGGACGGGCAGAGCCAAACGGACGGACAGACAAGCAGCTCGGCAGGCAGGCCTCGAGACAGAGAAGCGCATGCAGAGGCAGCGGCGCAGTGAGACAAACACGGACGACAGGGAAGCGCCGTCGGGCGCAGCAAGCCGCAGGCGTGTGTGGGCGGAGACAGAGGCCGAGATGTTGGCGCTGACGCAGGCAGAGGTGGAAGCGGGCAGGCAGACGAGCTGCTCAGCTCTGCGGGCAGCGCCTCCCCCCCCAGATCACGCCCTGACCTTGGGAGCTTCGGGTTGGGCCCGGGTGCGCTGCCGCTGAAGGTTATTCGGTGCGTCGGGTGCTGCAGGAGAGGTCGGCGCCCACACCGGCAGCCGAGCTGATATACAGACAGTGTCGGGCATTAGGTAGTGCGGGGGCGATGAATGCGGGGGATCGAGGGTCGTAGAAAAGGGGCCCTGAATGGGATGCTCTGGGGTTCCGACGGTGCACGAAAGGTGCACCTCTCTCCCTCCCCCCCCGTTTCCTCGGGGCGCCAGAGAGGGGGTCCAGCGCCGAGCCAAGAATTCCGCGCGGATCCTCCGAGACATTATGTTTGTGCCGTTGTTTGTTCCTCTGTAGAAGACGCCTACGGCGAATCACCGCCGCCCCCTGCTTTGTTGGAAGCGCCTATGTGGCCGAACGTTGAGGCCAGACCTGCCAAGCTATCGGACCATGTGTTCCCCGAATCGGTTTGGAAAGCCTTCGGGGAACACGTGGGCAGCTTGAAGATCATCTTGGCCGTGTGGAGGCCACTTTGACTCTTTCGGGCTTCCTTGGAGGACGTCTTGGGGGGCTCTTGGGCCGTCTTGGAGGCCATCTTGAGCGTCTTGGAAGCCTCTTGGGCCGTCTTGGGGGCCTCTTGGGGCAGTCTTGGGCCTCTTGGGCGATCGGTTGGGCACTTGGGCCGTCTCCGGCCGTCGGAAGGCCGAACAAAAAGCACATGCCACAATCCTTCAAAAACTAATGGGGGAACAATGGTTTTGGCCTGTTCGGCCTTTCCTGGAGGCCCTCTTGGAGGCCTCTCGGGCCGTCTTGGGCCATCTAAGGGCCATCTTCGGCCGTGTTGCTGTGCTCCTGGCCCGTCTGACGCAGTCGGAAGCCGTTTGGGGGGCCCCTTTGGGCCGACTTAGGGCCCTCTTGGAATGCTCCAGGGCCGTCTTGAAGGCCATCTTGGGCGTTCCTGGAAAGCCTCCTGGGCCGTCTTGGTGGCCTCTTGGGGCCGTCTTGGGTGCCTCTTGGGCCGTTCTGGGGCCATCTTGGAGGCCTCTTGGGCGATCTTTGGGCGCTCTTGGGCCGTCTTGGGCCGTCGGAAGGCCGAAAAGAAGCAAATGCCACAATCCTTCAAACACAAGGACAATCAGTGTTTTTGGCCTTTTCTGGCCTTCCTGGAGGCCCTATTGGGGGCCTTGTGGGCCGTCTTGGGCCAGCTTCGAGCCATTTCGGCCATCTTGGTGGGTTCCTGGCCCGTCTGACGCAGTCGGAAGCCGTTTTGGGGGCCCCTTTGGGCCGACTTGGGGCCCTCTTTGAATGCTCCAGGGCCGTCTTGGAAGCCATCTTGGGCGTTCCTGGAAAGCCTCCTGGGCGGTCTTGGTGGCCTCGTGGGGCCGTCTTGGGGGCATCTTGGGCCGTTCTGGGGCCATCTTGGAGGCCTCTTGGGCGATCTTTGGGCGCTCTTGGGCCGTCTTGGGCCGTCGGAAGGCCGAAAAGAAGCAAATGCCACAATCCTTCAAACACCTAAGGACACCTTCCTGGAGGCCCTCTTGGAGGCCTTGTGGGCCGTCTTGGGCCAGCTTCGAGCCAACTTCGGCCATCTTGGTGGGCTCCTGGCCCGCCTGACGCAGTCGGGAGCCGTTTGGGGGGGTCTCTCTGGACCGACTTGGGGCCCTCTTGGGGTGCTCCAGGGTAGTTTTAGAGGCCATCTCGGGCGTCTTGGAGGCCTCTTGGGTCGTCTTTGTGCCCGCTTGGGGCCGTCTTGGGGGCCTCTGGGGCAGTCCTGAGGCCATCATGGAGGCCTCTTGGGCGCTGTGGGGGCGATCTTGGGGGTCTATTGGGCCGTCTTGGGTCGTCGGAAAGCCGAAACGGAGCAAAACCTAAAAGCCCGTAAAAACCAAAGGGAAATACATGATTTTGGCCTCTTCGGGCCCTCCTGGAGGACGTCTTGGAGGTTTCTTGGGCGGACTTGGAGGCATCTCCGCCTCTCTTGGGCGGACTTGGAGGTCGTCGGAGGCCATCTTGGAGGCCATCTTTGGCCAACGTGGCCACCATGGAGGCCATCTTGAGCCGTCTTGGAGGATTTTTCCGCAATTGAGGTCCTTCCCGGTTGGCCGGCGGGACGGGCCGACGCCCCAGGAGAGTTTTTTGGTAAAAAGAACCAGGATGAAAACCGAGAGGGTTTAGCACGCCAGGACCCCTGCGATGACTCGACAGGGGGCGGCGGATGACGGAAAGCGCGCGTAGCGTGCGATCCGTTAGTCGGAAGAATGAAACTAGGGGGAGTTTGAGGGGGGTGGTATCTGCATTGCAGGGTCTACTGGCCCGCCCTTTTCCCTGTTAGCGGAGCCGTTACCAGGGAACATCGGGTGCTTTACGGGCCCGCCCGTTTCCCTGTTAACGGACCGTTGATCGGGAACTTGCACGCTCGGGTACCCCTTTTCCTTGTTAACGGAGCCCTTAGGAGGGAACATCGGGTGCTTAGCAGGGAAAATCGGGTGACGGACGCGTTTTTCCTTGACGGACCGTTCGCAGGGAATTTGCATGCTCAGGTCCAATGGCGGCACCGTCAACATCTCTGAACACTGCGGCTCCCAAGAGCGAACAGAGACGTAAACAAGCTGATAAGACCAAGGCTCCCAACAGAGAGCGGTGACGTAACAAGTTCTTGACACCAGGGCCCGAAACGGGCGGCAACGAAAGCTCCGCGTAAGCTCCGCGTAGGCTTCGCGTAAGTGCGTAAAGTCCTCGCCAATTTGAGGTACCTTCAAGACAGCCCATGAGAGGCCAAGCGTCCTCCAAGACGGTCCAAGATGCCTCCAAGACGACCCAAGAGGCCAGAGGCCCGTAAGATCGCCCCAAGATGGCCCAAGATACCCCCAAGACGGCCCCAAGGCGTGTTCGAACATCTGCACGTCTGCAGACGGCTTCAACGGCCTCCAAGACGGCGTAGAGAGGCCCAGACGGGCCCGAGGACGGCCCAAGAGCGATCCAGATAGCCCACGACGGTCTCAATACGGCTCAAGAGGTCTCCAAGAATTCCCCCCGAGCACCGATGAGCGGTCTAAGCGGGAACAACAACGAAAGTAGGGCTTTCGCCGCCCGGGGGGTGCCCTTGGCCCCGCCCTACCTGCATAAGCTCCTCGCCAGCTTAAGGCACCTCCAAGACGGCGTGAGAGAGGCCCAGACGGGACCGAAGACGGTCCAAGAGCGATCCAAGATAGCCCAAGATGGCCTCAGCACAGCCCAAGAGGCCTCCAAGACACCCCACGCGGCACCCGAGAGGACCCCCAAAAGTGCTGAAGGACGAATAAACCATTGATGCCTTTAGGTTTATGAAGGTTTTCCAGCTCCTCGCATTTTCGGGCAAGAACGGCGCGATACAGCTCCAGAGCTCCCCGAGATTGTGCCAAGACTGCCCGAGAGGCTCCCAAGAGAGCCTGAGGACGGCCCAGAAGGGCCCTTGGAGGGTCTAAGAGAGCCACAACACGGCCCAAGGAGGGCCTGGGAGACGCCCAAAATGCTCCCAAGAGACAGTATATCGCCATCATCATCAACAGTATTATTCTAATCTTCATTCGTGCTTTATCGCACTCCTAGTGCCTTCCCAGGATACCAACGCGCCCGGGTTCCCCCTCGAGAGGCCTCCTGCAGCATCGAGGTTGCCCCAGAAGGCGCCCTCTATGCCACCAAGATGCCCCGAGAGAGCCTCCAGACGGGGAGACAGAGAGAACGAACGGGCAATAGGGGGCCACACGCGAACCCTACCCCGACCCCCCACGATTTCTGAGGGGGAGGGTGGGGTTCAATTCGCTCGGGAGCTCCCGAGCGAAGTGAGCCCCACCCTCCCCCTCAGAAATCGTGGGGGGTAGGGGTAGAGTTCGCGTGTGGCCCCCTGGGCGAGCCAGCGACATCTCGCGCTCTGAAAGTACATGCGTTTTCCATCCCCGTGCCAGGCAGGTCAAATGGCCTCTTCGGCCCATCCCGTCACCACGCCGGGGTTCTGGCTACGAAGCCTATTGAAGGTTCGCTGGGATCTCGTGGGGGGCCTCTCGGGTGCCTCTTGGAGGCAGTTTGGAGGTCGCTTGGGAGGGTTTTGGAGACCCTTGGGGCCTCTTTTGTGCATCTTGGGGTCTCTTGTGGGGCTTCTCTTAGGGCCTCCTGGGCGCCTCTTGGGGCCTCCTGGGGGCCTCGTGGGGCGGAAGGCTTAGATCTTCGGTTCGTGCTCCCTCTCTTGGGCTCTTTTTGAGGCCGTCTTGGGTTCTCTTGGGCCGTGTTGGGCGCATATTGGGCCGTTTGGGGGCGCTCTGAGGCCGTCATGGGGCCCTCTTGTTGGCCTCTTTCGCAGTTTTGGGGTTGTCTGGGGGGCCTCTTGGGCCGTCGTGGAGCGTCGGGAATCCGAAAAGGCGAGATCACCAAAATCCTTAAATCACGTCGGGCAACTCAATGATTTCTGCCTCTTGGATGCTTTTTGGGGCGTCTTGGAGGCGTCTTGGGGCGATCTTTCAGCGACTCGGGGCCCTCTTGAACAGTCTTGGGGGCTCCGTGGGGCCCTCTTGACCCGCCTTCGGGCCGTCTTGGGCCCGAGAAAGTCGAGCGGTAACCCCAATTTTATATTTTCTGAATGTTGGTCTGGGCCCCCTAAACAGAGTCTTCAGGACTGAGGGCTGAGGCTCCAGGGTGCAGGCGTAGGACCTGAG